ATCGCTGGAGGACCTAAGCACTATGCTCAATGACCTCAATAGTGTTTCCCAACGGATAGGTCTTAAGATGAACATGGACAAAACTAAGATCATGTTTAATGTCCATGTCACACCTATGCCGGTAGTTGTTGGGAACACTAAGCTCGAAGTTGTTGACGAGTATGTTTACCTGGGACAAATAGTCCGACTGGGTAAGTCCAACTTCGACCGAGAGGTCAATCGACGGATTCAACTCGGCTGGGCAGCGTTCGGGAAGCTACGACACATCTTCTCGTCAGACATACCTCAAAACCTTAAAACGAAATTGTACAACCAGTGCGTGTTGCCAGTGATGACTTACGGAACTGAGACGTGGTCCTTCACTGCTGGCCGTATGAGGAAGCTCAAGGTCGCTCAACGAGCTATGAAGAGGGCTATGCTCGGAGTTTCTCTGCGTGATAAACTTAGGAATGAGGATATCCGCAGTAGAACCAGAGTGACCGACATAGCCCAACGGATTAGTAAGCTGAAGTGGCAGTGGGCCGGCCATATAGCTCGAAGAACCGACAACCGATGGGGAAGAAAGGTTCTCGAGTGGCAGCCTCGTACCGGTAGGCGAAGTGTAGGGCGTCCCCCCACGAGATGGAGTGACGACCTGGTAAGACATGCAGGAAGTCGATGGATGCAGGTGGCTCAGGACCGTGTTTTGTGGCATTCTTTGGGGGAGGCCTATGTTCAGCAGTGGACTTGTGAAGGGCTGTAATGATGATGATGATGAAATAAGGTTAAAATCGAAAAACACTCTTTGCGTACATAAATAATTTTTTCTAAATTTAGGTTTAAATAGTATTATTTTATTGTTTGTTATAGGATAAAATAGTTGTATAAGTTTTATTGCAATTTATATGTATATTATGAAAATACATTCAATAACAATTTAGAAAACAAAATAATGAAAAAACCAGGAAAAAATTTACTGGACTCATTAACGAATATTAATTTTATCACTCCTTGTTCATATTTTCCCTCTCTGTAATTATTTAAATTATTGTATGTCAGATTTAGAGATTTTCCACTCGTAAACTTAATAACAATTATTTTAGAAATGTTAAAAAAATATAAAACATATTAGATTCAACAGTTTGAAATTAAATAAATAATGAAAAGATACCATAGTATTGTATTATTTGTTGAAAGCCCTCTAGGTAACCATGGAATATTGTCGTCTTCGTTTTATCCGTCTTTACATCATAATTATATTTTTGACTTCTTTTTATTTTATTTGTGTAATCTTTGCGCTTGTGGTGCACCAATTCTTGATATGTTCGATAACCATCGACAAATTCTAATGTTTTAACTTTGTCTTCCGCCATTTTGTTTACTAAAATGCACGAAATAATGCATGCGAACCCACCGGTGATAGATCAGCGTTCGTTAGAGGCATGCGCTGTTGTCGAACTAGTTTTAGGGCATGCGCTATGGTTGCTCAGGCATGCGTTAGAGGAAGACGCAAGATGAACAAGGAAGGGCACTGGTGTAGACATCGAATTCCTCCAATAGTTCGAATCCCTGATCGGGCCAAAATCAGTTACTGTTTGTTTTTACTTTATTAGATTTTGCCATGATTATTTTTATGGGGTATCCATAAAGTTTTCTCATTCGGTTGGGCTGTATAAATATATAATTGTAAATGAAAATGATAAACATACATAAATATCAATAAAATAAAATAAATACATATAATATACATAAATAAATAAAAACCCAACCAGATGGAAGTCCTCGGCAGGGGAGACCAAACGACCGATGGTTAGTGGGAAAGGGAAAGAAACCGGCGAACAATGCGGGCGGTATCGAGGAGCACCGCCTTCTGCATTTGAGCTTGGAGCGAATCGTCACGGAGTCCCAGTCGCCTCAGATGAATCCCCCACCTGCCCCTCCCCCATCTACATGGTTGCGGAATTACATCAAGGACTACCCCAGGAGGTACCAGCATCCCTGGAGAATCCCTCGCTGAGCATCCACGACCATGTTATTCCACTCCTGAGCGTGGGTACTCAGGCTGCCCCGCGTATTCTAAAATTCCGCTCAAAACAATAACTGCTCGGGGCAAACTGAGCAACAATACGAAGGCGACCCCTGCCACGCTATCCGTGAATTTCTGCAACATCAGGGGACTTCACTCGAACCTAAACGTCGTTCAATACCATCTCGAGACGGCGAAGCTGGCCTTACCCTTTCTAACCGAGACGGAGGTGTCCTCTCCGGCTGATACTTCGTATATCTCCTACCCGAGGTACAAATTGGGGCACTCCTTTGTGCATCGGGCTGTAGTTTTCGAGTACGTCAGAGAGGACATCTGTTCTCGAAGCCTCGGCAGTCTTGAAGATTCGGACCTGTCCATCCTGTAGCTACGCGTAGACAGCGATGACCATCCGCCCGTCTACGGGTGCCTCTATAGGTCCCATAGCGGTAATGCTGAAACAGAACGACTCATCAACCACGTCCAAATGGATACAGATTGCTTGCTACAACAGGTCCCATCCGCAAAGATCGTGATCTTTGACGATTTTAACGCCTACCACGCCGAATGTTTCGGTTCACGTTTAACCGATCATGCGGGGAGATCTGTTTATGACTTTGCCTTGGCATATGGTCTGACACAACTGGTTACTTCACCTACGTGGATTCCAGATGTGGAGGATCATACACCTTCCCTGTTGGACCTTCTGCTGACCTCTCATCTGGACGGATATCAAGTACTGTAGATATCGGCTCTTCGGACCATTGTCTGATCCGGAGTATGATGCCACTCACGTTCCCCTCGCGGTTGCGTTCTGCAGGTTGCCGCCATGTTTGGCATTACAGCTCGGCGAATTAGGACGGAATGCGGTCGTTCTTCGCATTCTACCCATGGGGGCGGGTTTGCTTTTCGCCGGATGATCCCAGCGCTGTTGCTGATTCTGTCACTTATGTGGTGCTACAGGTAATGGAACTATTTATTCCATTATCTGTGGTACCCATCGGAGGCAGATCTCAGCCTTGGTTTGGTCGCTCCTGTAAGACTGCATTACGCAGTAAGCAGGAGTGTTATCAAGCCCGGGCTCCGGCTTCGGCTACTCGGGATTTAAACAACAGCATGCTTAAAAAGAAGTATAACTTCGTCTCCATGTCCTTCAAAAAAGTTATTGCCAAGGCAAAGTACGTAGAGAACGTAGGCAGAATTGCCGAGGAACTAGTTCGCCTTCCTTCGGGAACCCGTGTATTCTGGTCTCTCGCCAAGGCTGTCCAAGGCAATTTCTGTAAGCCATCACTCTTTTTAATATCTTTGACTACTATCTTTGCACAGAAGAAAGAAAAGAGAAAGACGACCTTTTAGGCTCCCTTTTTGCGTCCAACTCGACTCTTGATGACGGGCGGAACACACTGCAGAACATCCCGCGGTGTGAGTGCTCCATGCCGGATGTGCGGTTCTCACAGCGCTTGGTTTGCAAAGCACTCCTCTCCCTGGACATCCACAAGTCGAGTGGGCCTGATGGAATCCCCCCAATTATGCTGAGGACGTGTGCTCCGGAGTTGGCACCAGTTCAAACGCGTCTTTTCCGGTACTCCTACTCCCGAAGCGTAGTCCCGAAATCATGGAAGACAGCTTTTGTCCACCCGATCCCTAAAAACGGCGACCGCTCAGACCCGTCCAACAACAGGCCTATCGCCATAACCTCCTTGTTCTCCAAAATAATGGAATCCATTATAAACTGCCAACTCATGAGGTACCTTGAGGATCACCAGCTGATTAGTGACCGCCAGTACGGTTTTCGTTTCGGTCGATCAGTTGGTGATCTTCTGGTCTAGTTTGGACATTGCGAAGGCCTTAGATCGGGTTTGGCACAAGGCGCTTATTTCGAAGCTCCCTTCCTATGGACTTCCTGAGAAATTGTGCAATAGGATCACCAGCTTTCTTGCAGATCGGAGCATCAAGATCGTTGTAGACGGTGCATGCTCCGACTACAAGCCTATTAACGCTGGTGTTCCACAAGGCTGTGTGCTATCACCAACGCTGTTTCTTCTGCATATCAATGATATATTGCAAACTGGTATAACATTCATTGCTATGCAGATGACAGCACTGGTGATGCTCTATACACCGGAAAAACGTCGTCGAGTACCGGAACAAACTTGTGTCTGAAATCTAGTCTTTGCTGAACAAATTCTCGGATTTAGGGCGACTAAATCTAGTCCAGTTCAATCCTCAGAAGACACAAGTTTGCGCGTTTACCGCTAAAAAGAACCCCTTTGTCGTATCTCCTCAGTTTCAAAGTACTCCCCTTGTTGCCTCAGCCAGTGTCAGAATCCTCGAGGTCGGCATATCGAGTGACGTGCAGTTTCGTGGTCACTTGGAAGTGAAGGCGGAATCGGCCTCTAAAAAGCTTGGCGTGCTCAGCAGAGCGGGACAGTATTTCATGCCGGCACAACGCCTGCAACTTTACAAGGCGCAGGTTCGGCCTCACATGGAATACTGTTCCCATCTCTGAGCAGGGGCTCCCCAGTGCCAGCACCTTTAACTTGACCGCATCCAGCATAGAGCGGCTCGAATCGTCGACGACCGAGTCCTTCGCGATCGGCTCGATTCATTGGCACTGCGAAGAGTTGCTGCATTCCCTTGCATTTTCTTTCGCATTTACCAATGGGAGTACTCTGAGGAATTGTTTGGATTAATCCCAGCCGCCAAATTTCACGAACGAAAAAGAGTTACAGCCTTTATACGTCCCACAGCTGAGCACAGGCTTGCTCTTATTTCTGAGAGGGTTTTAGGGCAAGGAAACACCACGCTGACCCAATGCAAACTTGGCAGACTTTTAAAGTCTCCGAATTATATTTTTTTCTTATTTCTTAGACATGCAGGTTTCCCCATGGTGTTGTAAATCATCACTTAAAATTACAATTAACAATTTCATGATTGCCGGCGGGGATCAAACCCGGGTTGTTCACGCACTGTGAAATTTACAGCGAGCGCTTAGCCCCTGAGCTACCACGGCTCTACGAGGCGTGTCTACTCTAAGAAAAAATACATAAATATTATTATCGATCTGTTTGTGTACAACAAATTTTTCATTCAGAGTGTATGTCGAAAATTCGTTAACTGGAAAAACGTGTTTCTTTTTTAAAGGTAGCTTAATTTTTTTGAAAAGGTTACTACCCCTACTGTGTAGTGTTTTGAAACGGTTTTTTTAGATAAAACAAGGAATAAAAATAGACCCAGTTTCGTCGCAAAATTTCATTATATCATCATATAAAATATATATCTATTTCTTTACGTAAGCGTCTTTGGGCTTGAATTGACCTGTATTTTAATTTTAAATAGAGTCATTTGATGTAAAACTAAAAATTATAATATATAATAACGAAGGTAACAAAAGTCCAGCGAAATTAGTCCGTACACCGGCAGCCAGCGCTCGGAACTACTAACATAATATATGCAGATATATAAAAATAATCAGCGAGGGTAGATAAGTATTGGGCTAAGAATTACAATTGCGCATAGTATAATACAGGAAGACGATTGTATTATTTTGAACTTATGCAATACGTTTAGCACAACAGAGTTTCAATAAAGTATAGGAAGGATGTTTTTATGTGTGATCATTACATCCGATGCTTATGCCACTGCTGAAAATTGACCCTTTTTATATAGTATAGATTGTGCTATAGTTGTGACGCTTGGCAGGTGGGTTGGCAACAGAGTTTTTAATTAATTTTGCGTTTTTAACAGGAAGATGTTGCTGCTTATCTCCTCTTTCAGTTCCCCTGTCGCCTCTTACGATACCTACGGGACGATATGGGGTAGTGGATATTCTTACACCATAACTACATGGCAACGCATTTGTGTGTAAGTAAGCACTGATGTGCTTACTTATACAAAAACAGAAAAAAATATAAAGAAATGTAACTAATGATTTCTGATGATAGGCAAGGCAGAACTTTACCACTAGTTTTGCGAGACGAGAATGAATTTCTTTTTACTCAAGAATTCATCTTCAAAATATGAAAGCAATACTTTGTGAGGATGTCAAATGTTAAAAGGTGTCTAAAGTAAATGCACCAGAAACTCCGAAAAAAAAAGAAAGGACGAAGCGAGATAAGTATGGATGAAATAATGAGTGCAATGGAAAACTTGAAAGCAAGTAAAGCAGCTGAGTATGATAGAATGAGAAATTGTATGATAAGAGAAAAGTGTATATATAAAAACCAATAACTAATATATAAAAATTATATATTAGTTGTTTAGATCTATTATTAATATTTTGAGTTAATTATAACTTCTTAACGCCTACAGACAGACAGTACAGAGAAACTAAAATTATGAATATTTATCAAACATATAGTTATAATACCTGTATTCTTATATAGAAAACTTTAGATGGTAAAATACACACAAAAATTAAATTAGTAAGAAAGAAAGGTCGAGGAAGAAAAGTGCTTCGTAATGCTAATAATATTTACGTACCTAAGGTGGGAATAAACTATAGTAAACAGAGTATACTTTTTGATGGGTTTAAAATATATAATAAATTACCCCAAGAAATTAAAACATTAAAGATTTTTAACACCTTCAAAGGTAAACTAAAACAATAGATAATAAATAAATTCTAAATCCGACTCTGTTCATACGCCGACCGCCAATCCGCATTAATTGGTAAAGGTAAGAAATACTTTGTTTACTATCCACTTTATTAACTCATATTCTAAAAGATTGATAATTTATTTATAAAGTATAGAAAGTATTAAGTTATATACATAAATTAGTAAGAAGTTGTACCACATAAGTAAAGAAACTGTACAGAGGCAAAGCTTCTAAGGAACTGTCAAAATTTTTACCTATTTTTGTAGGGTTGGCACAGGAGGATAAAACTAAATAAATAAAACGTTTATCAGCATTTTAATAGACACTTAAGATATAATATTTTATTATAAGCTACGTATTCTAAATGTTTTACTTTTATAATTATTGTTATTAAAATATTAGTTGTAGCTTTTAAATAAATGGTAAATTCTAAATTTAATATAAAGTTTTTTTTTAAATAATCTATTGGAAAGCACTCACATTTCATAACAAATATAAAATCTTACACACGTTTTAAGACGCGCTTCAATGCTCCTTTCAACGTCAAAATATTCGCGAAATTTTTGCTCAAGTAATTCAAAAAACATGATAAAAATATCGGGAAGATTTATTAAAACACCCGATTAAACATTATCTTTATTAAAATATTTGTATTTGTGTAGTTAATAGATCTAAACAACTAATATATTTTTATTTTCTCACATTTGAAGTGACATTTTCTATACAAATATCCCGACACATATTACTAAACCATTTTTTTTTCGGGTAAATCAAATAAGTAATCGTTTGTTCCTACTATTAAAATAGGGGCAGTAACATTGTCAGGTTGCGGCGATGGTGTATTAAAATACGACAGTCGTCTGGTTTCATAAGTAACATATCGAAAACATATTCATAAATAGTATTTTGAGGTATCCCTAAGATATTGATTATAAACATCTGTGGTGTATCTATTTATTTACACACACACATTGGAAATATCTATTTACATATGTATATAAATAACTCATTATATAGTTAAGTTTATCATACACAATCTATAGTATTCATATATATATTTTATTTACTATGTACTGCATACTTATTTATTATCACTTATATTAGTATTTTATATTATCAAGTCCCGTACGTGGAAGGCACTCTCGTAGAACCGGTTCCCCGGTCGGTCGACCGGCCGCGGTGCATAGTTTAAGAGATGACTCGCCAGTTAGCAACGAGACCCTTATACGCGTAAGCGCATGCCGCTCCTTGCTCCGTCGGTTAATTGTTATCACACAAATTTAATCCGTAATATAAGTTGTGAAAGACTGTTATCCCATAAGTTAATTTTATTATTGAGCTATTCATATTATAATATTTTATCAATTTACTATCATTCTTTTCTCCTTCTTATCTTAATAATTGTGTGTGTATCTATTGTAATAAACTGAATTATTCGGAATTTGTGGACATTATTTAAATTGCCTAGTCGTTACACGAACATTACATCTTACTATACTACACTGGTGACCCCGAAGGAACACTAAAATGAGTGATAGCAGTGATTCGGTAAAAACCGCGGGATCAACGGCAAAGTCAGAAAAAGTGACCATGCGGCGCGCTCAACGTGTGCGCGTCCCTACAGAAGACGAACGTGATAAAATGGCGGACGCACGTAAAATTAACATAAAGGTGCCTCCATTTTCTCCAGACGACCCGGAGATTTGGTTTGCACTACTAGAAAGCCAATTCGGTTTGCGTAACTCTGGGCAAACTTTCCAAAGGTTTGTTGATGAGATGACCAGAGGCCTCGATTTCTGCTACTGTTTTCTCGACGATTTCCTTGTCTTCTCGAAAACAGAAGCAGAACATCGAGACCACCTTCACCAACTGTTTAACCGAATGAAGGAATACGGTATCCTCATAAACTCGTCAAAATGTGTCTTCGGAGCTAGCGAGGTGTCATTCTTAGGACACCATATCTCAGAAGCCGGTTCTAAGCCTTTGAACTCAAAAGTCGAGGCCATACAAAATTTTCCACCTCCGAAAACCATACGCCAGCTAAGGAGATTCCTGGGCATGGTAAATTTTTACAGGCGCTTTCTACCAAATGCGGCTAGGATTCAGCTGCCGCTGAATGCTTTACTTTCCGGTTTGGTCAAGGCGTCTCAACCGATCGATCTCACCGGGGAAGCATTAGCTTCCTTCAATGAGTGCAAGAACAGCCTTTCCCAAGCTGCTCTACTCGCACACCCTGACTGCAACGCCAAACTTGCTCTGGTAACAGATGCATCAGATTTGGCTATGGGTGCAGTTTTGCAGCAGTTTAAGGATGGTTTTTGGCAACCTCTTGCTTTCTTTTCTCGAAAGCTAAGTCCTTCCCAAATGAAGTACTCACCATATGACCGTGAGCTTTTGGCGATATATGAAAGCATAAAATACTTTCGGCACATGCTAGAGGCAAGGCACTTTGTAGCATATACTGATCATAAGCCGCTCAGTTACGCTTTTCATGATAGGAAAGTCAACTGTTCGCCTCGTCAGTACCGCTACCTCGATTACATCTCGCAGTTTACGACCGACATCCGCCACATTTCGGGCAAGGATAATGTCGTGGCTGACACCTTGTCTCGAATCGAGGAACTGCAAATGCCAATCGATCTAGATCTACTTGCAAAATCCCAAGCCTCTGATGCGGAACTGACTGATATCTTGAGCAGTGAATCATCACTTTCACTGCGTATAGAACAGTTCAAGCTTCCGAACAGTAGCTCGGAACTATATTGCGACGTGAGCACACCGTCACCTAGACCATTTGTGACAAAGCCCTTCCGTAAAAAACTCTTCGATAGTCTTCATAACCTCAGCCACCCAGGCGTCAGAGCGTCAACCAAACTTGTAGCGGAGCGGTTCGTTTGGCCTGGGATGCGTAAAGACTGTCGAGAGTGGTCACGGAACTGTCTGGCGTGTCAACGTGCAAAGGTGCATCGCCACGTGTCATCTCCCTTCGGCACGTTCGATCTACCCAAGGCACGTTTTTCTTTTATCCATGTGGACATAATAGGCCCACTGCCCCCATCACAGGGAAATCGATACTGCCTCACCATCGTGGACCGTTTCACACGCTGGCCCGAAGTCTCGCCAATGGTCGATATGACGGCTGAGACCGTTGGAAAGGCTCTGATATCGTGGATATCCAGATTTGGATGTCCAACTGATATCGTAACGGATCGCGGACGACAGTTTGAATCCACCCTTTTTCATTATTTAGGAAAAATGATTGGATTCAAACATCGAAAAGCTACCGCGTATCACCCAGCGTGTAACGGTATGGTGGAACGGTTTCACCGGCAACTAAAGGCAGCAATAATGTGTCACGCAGACAGCAACTGGGTAGACACATTGCCTTTAGTACTGTTGGGTATTAGGTCCTCTTATAAAGAAGAGCTTAAAGCTTCGTCGGCAGAGTTGGTATACGGAGAGCCCTTACGTCTTCCAGGGCAATTTTTCCAACCAGTTGCTCTGGATAACACCGATTTATCAGAATTTACCACTCGCCTTCGACAGCTCACCCAGAAGCTATCACCGACACCTGCCACACGTCACAGTAAAAACAACATCTTTGTACATAAAGATTTAAAAGTTTCAACGCACGTATTTTTGCGAGACGATGCCTTAAGAGGTGCATTGCAACCTCCATATTCTGGCCCTTACGAAGTGGTCGAACACGGGGATAAAACATTTAAAATATGGGTAAAAGGGAAAGCTGTAACAGTATCGATAGACCGTCTTAAGCCAGCCTATATACTGACAGACCCCTCACCAAATTCCATCCCTACTTTTTATCCTCAACCTGTCCCTAAACCGTCAGAATCCACCGATACAGCAGCAACTCCTGTCAAGGAAAACGTTAAACGTACGCGCTTGGGGCGCGTTGTACGTTTCCCTGATTTTTATCGCCCGTAGTGACGGTCTCCGGGGGGGAGTGATGTGGTGTATCTATTTATTTACACACACACATTGGAAATATCTATTTACATATGTATATAAATAACTCATTATATAGTTAAGTTTATCATACACAATCTATAGTATTCATATATATATATTTTATTTACTATGTACTGCATACTTATTTATTATCACTTATATTAGTATTTTATATTATCAAGTCCCGTACGTGGAAGGCACTCTCGTAGAACCGGTTCCCCGGTCGGTCGACCGGCCGCGGTGCATAGTTTAAGAGATGACTCGCCAGTTAGCAACGAGACCCTTATACGCGTAAGCGCATGCCGCTCCTTGCTCCGTCGGTTAATTGTTATCACACAAATTTAATCCGTAATATAAGTTGTGAAAGACTGTTATCCCATAAGTTAATTTTATTATTGAGCTATTAATATTACAATATTTTATCAATTTACTATCATTCTTTTCTCCTTCTTATCTTAATAATTGTGTGTGTATCTATTGTAATAAACTGAATTATTCGGAATTTGTGGACATTATTTAAATTGCCTAGTCGTTACACGAACATTACATCTTACTATACTACACATCTTATTGAAGGCAATACTAACTAGACGACATGTAGGTTCCCGGGACTATCCGAACAATTCTGAACAATTACTTTCCAAAAAATTTTTTGACACAGTCTTGATTGAGACGTTTCGTAAATATAAATGAATTTAATTTACTCTGATTTTAATTCTTCAGGAAGTTTTATTAAAAAAATTTATAAACACTTGAAATCCGTCAATGGAATTCATGTTATTTGTAAGGTTTGTATCCCTATTCCTTTATATTGAAAAATTCCTGAAAAATGTTAGTATTTCTTCTAAAACCTCAATTTGATAACTATCGCATTGAAAATTTCTTTTGTATATATTAGGAGATTGCAGTGTACTTGAGCTTAAGAAATCAAACAAGTTATTAATTTTATTTACAAAATCAGCGGTATCACTTGCGTCAACCTTGATTAGATTTAAATCTACGTAAACCATATTCATACTTTTTTATATTTCATTTGAGATGAATTATTATTATAAAAAAAAAACAAAATTTGAGACTTATTACTTTATACACAACCCTGATTTTGAGCACTGAACGAGCCGGTTTCAAGCAGTTTCTCTCTGTACGTGACGAGCCGTCAGTGCTCATGCACACATGCGCCTCAAGATTGCAGTAGTGTACCTATCACAGCGCGGTTGTATGAAGCTTTGCCTCGGTGCCATACGGTTTACATTTTGTTTGAGCAATGATTCGGCGACAGTAGGAGAAGAATTTAATGATTTTGTTGTCAAAAAAGGAACATCAGTAAAATGTTTCTCAAAAGCCATAGCAACTTCTTGATCAGATCGCGTTAAATTATTGTTAATATTCAATTGAAAATCCGAGTTGCGCGGTTTGACCTTGCCCGTTTCACTATTTATTATTCTCCAGGTCATTTTAATTTTGTCGGATGCAGTTTTAATTTTGTTGCTTAAATGTAAAGCCTTAGCAGTGGAGCACACTTTTTTAAATATTTTAGAATATGTTTTTACATAATCTCTAAATATAACACTACTATTATATGATCTTTCATCATAAAGCTCGTATAGCCATACGGTACGATTTCATTACTCATGTGGTTGTACTATGCCACGAAACTCTTTCCTTCCCTTTTTAATGTATTTATTTTGCATTCTGTATGCTCTAACCTATTAATAACTCGTATATTTTAACTTCTTACTAAGTGAAATGTATATTTCTTTTGAGAATACAATATCTTTAATCATAAATGGGGCATTACATAAACTAATATATATAATAAATCTATAGAAAAGTCATGTCTATAATTCTAATATATTCTTGAAAAAAAAAAACAAGTCCAGGGGATTAAATAAAGCCAAATTAGTAATTTATAGAATTTTTGTCTGTCTGTCTGTCTGTCTGTGTATTCCGAATTCACGCAAAAACTACTAAACCGATTAACATGAAACTTTGTATGTATATAGTGAGTAACTCGGGGCAACTTTTAGGCTACTTTTTATCCGATTACGGAACTATAAAAAAGGAATGTTAAGTATATTATTTCCTATAGATGTTAATTTTCTATTATATCTTAGTTATAGGCGGGATGACGGGTGTTTTTCAAATAAATAACATATTAGTGAATAAAGTTTCAACTGAACAGACAGATCTCCAAATGCATGCGGCGGGACTTACGCAACTTCAATACAGCTTGTATTGAAGAAGCGATCGAGCGGAACCAAGGCTCCAAAGTCTTTGCCAGAGATCTCTGTGCCAGAAAGAGCCAACTGTCAAGGCTGAAGACCGAATGTGGCAGCATCGCTTCCGGAACACCTGAGATTTTGAGTGAGATTGAGAGATTCTATGGGCAGCTGTACAGGTCATCGTTGGAGCCACACGCAAGTGTGAGTAACGATCCAAGAGCGAGTCTCATCCGACACTATTCCGAAGATATCCCGGACGTCAGTCTGAGCGAGATTAGAATGGCTCTCCAGCATTATCAAAACGGCAAGACCCAAGGCGAGGATGGAATTACAGCGGAGCTTCTGAAAGCGGGTGGAAAACCGGTACTTGAAGTCCTTCAGAAGCTCTTTAATTCCGTCCTCCATGGTGGCATTACACCGCAGGCGTGGAGCAGAAGTGCGGTGGTCTTGTTCTTCAAGAAAGGCGACAAGACTCTCTTGAAGAACTACAGACCGATTTCCCTTCTGAGCCGCGTCTACGTGCTGTTTTCGAGAGTCATTACTAATCGTCTCGCGCGCAGATTTGACGACTTCCAGCCTCCCGAACAAGCCGGTTTCCGAAAAGGCTTTAGCACTATAGACCACATACATACACTTCGGCAAATTTTACAGAAGTCCGAGGAGTACAATTTGCCACTATGTCTGGCGTATGTGGACTATGAGAAAGCCTTTGACTCCGTCGAAATTTGGGCGGTGCTGCAGTCCCTTCAGCGGTGCAAAGTTGGCTGTCGGTATATCGAAGTGTTGAAATGCTTCTACAGTAGGGCTACGGTGTACGGTGCTGTATCCGAGTACAGAACCAGAGTACGAAACCTATCCAATTGCAGAAAGGTGTAAGACAAGGTGACGTCATATCCCCGAAACTCTTCACCGCTGCATTGGAAGACGTTTTCAAGCTTCTGGACTGGAAAGGATATAGTATCAACTTCAATGGCGAGTACATCACTCACCTTCGTTTTGCCGACGATATAGTCCTTATGGCAGAATCGCTGGAGGACCTTAGCATTATGCTCAATGACCTCAATTGTGTCTCCCAACGGATAGGTCTTAAGATGAACATGGACAAAACAAAAATCATGTTTAACGTACATGGCACACCTATGCCGGTAGTTGTTGGGAGCACTAAGTTCGAAGTTGTTGACGAGTATGTTTACCTGGGACAAATAGTTCGACTAGGTAAGGCCAACTTCGACCGAGAGGTCAATTGACCATCTTCTCGTCAGGTATACCTCAAAACTTGAAAATGACACTGTACAACCAGTGCGCGTTGCCAATGATGACGTATGGAACTGAGACGTGGTCCTTCACTGCTGGCCGGATAAGGAAGCTCAAGGTCGCTCAGCGAGCTATAGAGAGGGCTATGCTTGGAGTTTCTCTGCGTGATAAACTTAAAAATGAGGATATCCGCAGTAGAACCAGAGTGACCGATACAGCCCAACAGATTAGTAAGCTGAAGTGGCAATGGGCCGGCCACATAGCTCGAAGAACCGACAACCGATGGGGAAAAAAGTCCTCGAGTGGCAACCTCGTACCGGCAGGCGAAGTGTAGGGCTTCCCTCCACTAGATGGAGTGACGACCTGGTACGATATGCAGGAAGTCGATGGATGCAGGTGGCTCAGGCCCGTGCTTTGTGGCATTCCTTGGGGGAGGCCTATGTTCAGCAGTGAAGTTGTGAAGGGCTGTAATGATGATGATGATGAAATAAAGCTTAAAATATAGTAATAATCTTGGTAATAAAATTAGAAACTACACCGATTTGGTATTCAAAACAGCGCCATATATCATCAAATGGAAAAATTGGTATATTTTGCCTTCAGTTACTAATAAATGTAATAATATAAATAACTTGCATTTATATGATTAAATTTTTAAAATTATTAAAAAAGACGTTTAGTTTTTTAGTATTTTTGCTATTTTATTTTAAAAGTGTAATAATTTCAATGGATAATTGTGACGTCTATCGAAAATATGAAAATTGATAAGGTATTTATTTCAATTACTAATATATAAGTAAAGTGATTAAAACTGGTCTGGCTGCAATTGTTGCAAAATTTTAACTATCGTAATATTTTTATTAAAGAGATTTTTATGTATGTCGTGGCCAGATCGTGGAATTGATCATACTCGTATATCATAAATTAGTCTATAATTTCGTGAAATGCTGTGGTCATTTCATGATATTTAACACTATTTGTTGACCATGTCATGATATATCTTGACCAAATCAATGAATAGAAATCGTTTGAAGCTATTGATAACTAAACACAACGTTGCTATTTCATAATGTGGTCATATGACGATATCATTAAATCGTTTTTCACCACTAGTGGCGCTGATAGCGTATTTTTTAACACAAACAGAACTTTTAAGAGAATTGACATCACGTTACCTCTTATTGATATAATAAATAAATGTTCGCTTTTCATCTAATATTGGCGCCACGTACTTACTTTTAAATAAACTAAAATGGAAAGTCATTGATGAAATGAAATAATACAATGCTACTGAATATACGATCTAAATAATTGAATCATTTATATTAAATTCATACTGCGTTGGAATCAGCGCAGCGAACACTTTTTTGGCCAAAAACTCTGTGGCCTGTGCCCAGTAGTAACATGTATGTAAGCTGCTACTTGTTTAATTTTCATGGGGCAATATATGCAGTTTTTATTTCATTCGTGTTTTCGGGTATGTTACTTTTTGTTTTCACT